CGCGGCCGTCTGAACCGTGGCGGCTGGTACGACTACAACAACAACAACAACAACTACTACAACTACTACTACTGATGCTACTACTACTACTACTACTGCTACTACTGTGACAGAACTGTGGCTGAATATGCGAATTAAAACTTGCTGGTTACAAGATTGCAGCCTAATGCCAAATGCGGGGTTGCGTTGTTCTTTCAGACTATATATAACCTCGATGATCATTTCGATGAGGTACAGGCAACCACTGAAACATAGACACCAGCAGTAGTATCAGCCATATGTATCGCAACCATGACCTCTGTTTCGAAATGCTGTATACCCATTTCCATTGCTGCTGTTCTAGCGACTGCATGGCCGAGTGCGCAGCCCTCCCAGAAGCTGCGAAAGCGGGATCCAAGGGTGTCCCTCGGTCAGAGTTTATAGGGTTTCGGGTTAGCGTGTAAAGTTTGAGTTTGGGCATAAGGCTTAACCAAGCTTGACGTTGAATGGCTTTGGGCTCATAGGGTTTTTGCTGGGCCTCCTGCTCGGGCTCAGAGGTTGTTGCTAGCCGGCTACGGAATGAAGAAGCAGCATGAGTTGTAAGGGTGTTAAGGGGTTGGTTTTGCTGAAGCTGCTGAAGTACCCTCGATCTCCTGGCTCCTGCGGTTGTACGCTCGAAACCAGAATGTGCAACGGATGCCAGTCGCCCTTGTCCGGCAGGCGCGAGAAACAACAACACGGATCGTGACTAATAAAGCACACAGGGCACAGTTTGATAAACAAGCCATCCGCAGAGAGCATAGGGGAAACTAATGAAAGAACATTGAGAAGACCAAGGGAAGGGAACCCCACTAGACGGAAGGCACAGTCAGCAACAGCAAGTGTGCCGGCTCTTTGGCTACTTCGGGCCAAGGGTGACCCTGCTGCCCATACCCTGGGGTCTCAAGTTCGGAGTTTCAGGGGCTTAGGCTACATCGGGTTTAGGGTTTTTGGGTTTAGGGCGGACACACTCGACTTGTGCTAGATCTGTGGCTCTAGAAATCAGAAGGAACAGTCGATGGGAAACTACAGCAATAATGACCAGGTGCCGACGATGGGCATAGCAAAATTATCGTAATAACGATGCTGGAGTAATCGTAATATCAATAGTAATAGTAGTCGCAGTAGCAACAGCCATAGCAATAGTCACGTCAACTGGTCGGGACAGCCAAGAGACGAAGATCGACGTGCCCGCTGCCTGCTCCTTTGCGGACATGTTGAAGTGTCTCAGCCGTTCGTGTGCATGTGTGTGGCTGCAGGTGGGTGGGCAAGTAGACATTTTTGCGAGAACAGCTGCTGGCATGCAGACCATTTGCTTGACTGTATTTAGAAATATGGGTGGTTTCAGCCCCACAGGCCCAAGAATCTCTAAAATTCCAAAATTCCTGAAAAACCTTGTTTTACAAAAATTCCAAAAAACACAAACAATCGATATTTCCAAAATCACAAATTTTCCAAAAATCTTTTAACAATATTTGAAAATTTCTAAACAAATATCTGAAAAACTTGAAGATTTCTCAACAAAAAACATATTTATGTATGTATGTATGTATGTCAAATATTTATGACTATTTTATATATATATATGCATACATATATACATATACATATAAGGATAACAACCCTCAAAGCGCCAACCCTCGGACACGCCTCTTTTTCACTTCTGCAAGCGTCTCCGCTTCAAAAGTCCGGACGGGGCTTCTGCCGTCTTCGCAGCTACCTGCACGTCGCTATCGAGCAACGCTACCGCTTCGCACGCAACCCGGACATCGTCCTGCTGTGCCAAACGCATCTGAGCTTCACTAGTCCTCCATGGCAGACAGCTGATTGCAGATTGAACGACTCCCATCAACACAGGAAGCGACATTCCATTGCCCGCGAGATCCCACATGAGGTTTTCGCTTGGAAACCCCGCTGGCAGCGTCTCCTGCGACCCGGACCGCGTCCTGTTCGCAGCGTTGTTCCCGGACAGCGTCCCTTTGCTGCGCTCTGACTCTTGCTGCTCTTTCCACACTGCCAACTCTTCCAGGAAGCACATGACAGGGAACCCCTGGAAGCGCAAGGCCTCCCGCCCCAGTAGCACTCTCGCTTCGCGTCCAAACAACCTCGGCTCGGCCCAAAGAGTTTGTCGACTGAGAAGTGTGGGGCCCACATGCCTCTGTTCCACACGCGTGACACTGTTGGCCCTGTAGATGCTCTGGGACAAATCCCTGATCATCGCGGATTCGGAGCTGTGCTGGTGCTGCAGCAAAGGCAAAGCATTCTTTTCACGAGAGGTAAGCGTGTGATACCAAGCGTTATTGCGCAGATGCTCTGGAGCCTTTTGGCACCACAGCACACCTCGCTCCGCCGCAAACTTCATGTGCTGCTCAGGCCATTGAGCACTGGACGCCGCCCCAGGCGTGGGATCCTCCGCTTTTTTCTTGTCCTCGCGCGACTGCAGCTCTGCGAGCACAGCTGGGTGATCCGGAGCGAGAAGCTGGGTCTCCAGGGAAGGGCCCTCACGCATGCAGCTGGAAGAAAACTGCCGGAACTGCTGAAAGCATGTCTGCGCAGACCTGATGTTGAAATCGATCAAGGGATTTGCTGCAACCTGGACAAAGAAAATGTAGCATCGCCTCCGCCGGAAACTCAAACCAAACTTCGATGCTTCACAAATGGTCGCTTGTCCCTCGTAACCCAGCTGCCCCAGCTGCTCCATCAAGATGTGCTGATTGGACATCCCGCTCTGCGAGCCCTCGTCCAAGGTGTCGACGTTCTCGAACACCACCAGCGGTGGTCTCTTCTTGCGAAGATAAGCAACCAACCCGTGGTATGTTTGTGCAGACCCTCCGCGTGAATGCGCCTGGGTGAAGGTAGCCTGCTCCGAATCTTTGCGCTTGTTCGGGTTTGCTTTGGAAAGGTCCTTGCAGCTGGTTCCTACGACTAGAATGTCTACGGATGGTGTAAAGCATTTGCTACCGTGACAGCTGCAGGTTGCCATATCATTTGCCATGTCACAAATATCCGTGAACAAGCATGGCATGTCTGCCACATCCTTCTGGCAGGGTTTCTCGTCTTTCTCGCTGCTTGCTGCAGCTGAATCTGAATCTTCTTCCGAGTCTTCTGCAGCAGCCAACTGGTCCACAAATTGAGCGGCAGCGTCAACATTGCCATCTGCGTCCTTGTGATCCTCCCGCGCGGAGCCAGCTGCTGCTTCTGGTTCACCCGGTGCACCACCTTGCGTTGCTGCTGTTGCTGCCTTGCCCGGTCTGCGACCTGCCAGAAACTGTTGTTGCAAAAGTGCCTGCTCCAATCTGCGCATGACACGTTCTTCGCATGCGACAACACCAGAGATCCAAGAACGCTTCTCCCTGTTGATCTCGCAGCTGAAAATTTATTGGGTCAGCTGCAGAGGCTGACGCGACTCACGCAAGGCGGCACTGATCGCACGCATGACGAAAGCAGCGCCCTCAGAGCCCGAGCAGAGGCTGCCCCAAGTCAAAGACCTCCTGCTGGGATAGATATTGCTTTCTGCGATACCTGCGAAGCGCTCAAAGTTGCTTGAAGCGACACGCAACAGCCAAGTTTCGTCTCTTAGCTCTTGGGCTTCCACGGTGTCAGCCTCGCACGTGACGACAGTTTCAGAAACCCGCTGCACCAGCTTACGCTGCACCGCGGCGGCCATTGCCGTCCCTGTCTACAAGACCTGAAGAGTTACCAGCACCAAGCAGCTAAGCGTGACATGAATCAGAAAATGGGGCTCTGACGGAGATGTAACAGTATTGTCTACAGTTGTAACTATAGTATTCTAGTAATTAAAAAAAATCCAAGGCCCTCGAACCTGTTGACTCTTGATATTACCAGTCCGAGCTGACAGTTGGTGCCTGCAAGGTTTCTGTCTTGAACGTAGCAAGAATAATTCATATTGATCTTGAGACTTCACAACCTCACACGTGTTGTGTTATGACTTGATGACTCACTGACAATGACATAGATCTCTATACGGACATTTATTAGATCAAACACCGCAGCCTGCACATGAGCCAGAAAGAACGCATGGGCCAGAGTTTCCGACACGTGCAGCTGCAAGGTGACGCTCCACATGCCCTCTATCTGTGCGGCACATGCTACACGCCATTTTAAGCCAACAAACAGAAAACGCAACTCACAGCTGCAGAGCTCTTGCATAACGGCACGCTTTGAACTTTTTTTTCAGGACGCCTGGCTCAGGCACGCGTGCGGCCGAGATCCGGCTGGGCAGTGGCTACACTTGCCAGGAGCTGCTGTTGCATGCGAAACCGAAACCCGAACGAAAAACAACTAAACACTTTACGGTCTGCAGGCTAGCCTCCGTGCTACGAAACACTGGCCTCTAACAGTATAGTATAGCAGCATAGCACAACATGTGACTTACACGCAACTGCAGCTGCACTGGGCTCACTCAAACTCTCAGACTAGCGCTTGTCGTACAGTTCGGCGAGAGGCGTTTTCCAGCCCTTGGACTCGATGCTCTTCCTCAGCTTTTCCTTGAGACGATCTCCCGTTGCCGCTGCAGTTGCAGCTCCCGATCCCCGGTCTGCGACCCCTTGCGATCCCGTTGCCGCCGTTGCCTTTGCCGCCTTTGCCTGCTCCGCGAGCTTCCGTTTACCCACAAGGTCTGGACAATCGCTCATCTTTTGCCACTTGATCGTTGTGCCTGCAGGCCGCACCTGGTCCAGAAGTTGTGACAGCTCCGACTTAGGCTTGTTGGCTGGGGACGCTTTGCTTTTGACAGCGGCCAAGACGGTGTCTTGCGGCTTAGCCGTAGCCTTAGCCTTACCCTTAGCTTTTGCCTTGGCTTTGGGCGCGGCCTGCCCAGCTGCACTCGTCTTTTGCAACGCCAGCAGCTGGCGCGCCTTTCGCAAACTGCAGCTCTGGAGCTTTTGCTTCTTTGTTTTCGTTGTTTTCTCTTTTTTCTCCTTCTTTTCCTTCTTCTTTTTCCGCTGCTTCTCCTTCTTCTCCTTCTTCTCCTTTTTCTCCTTCTTCTCGTTGTCCTTCTCGTCCTTCTTTTCTCTCCTCTCTTTCTTCTCTTTCTTCTCTTTCTTGTCCTTCTCCTTTTTTTCTGGCTTCTTTGCCTTGCTGGCATCTTCCTCATCTTCCTGAGCCTTTCTCTTTCCCGGCTTCTCGGCCTGAGTCTCTTCCTTGTCAGAAGGAGCTGCTTGGCTCGGCACTTCCTCTGGCGCCGACACCCGGACTGCGTCCTCTTCCTTGTCCTGGCCCTGTGTCTCCTCGCCCGTCGAGGAGGCAGGCAAGCTTGACATTGCCTTCTCCTTGTCTTCGTGCTGCACCGTGGCAGCGACTTCATCTGGCTGGGTGCCTCCTGCGGGTCCCACGGTTGCCACCCCAGCAGAAAGACTGGGCGCATCCACTCCCTGCTCGGCTTTCTGCCGCTTATTGGGCGGTTGCTCTCTGTGTCTGGTTCTGGGTTGTGCGACTGCGGAAGCGGCTGCGCCGCATCGCTGCTCTGCGAACCTGGGACACACTCCTGCGCTGTCGGGGGTGCTGCCGCAGGCTCCACACTTGGAGGCTGCTGAGGCTCGCCTGCGTCAGCGTCAGCGTGCCTGTCTCGGTCTGCCTCGGACTCGGACTGTGAGTCCACAACGTTTTGTGAGCTTTCTTGTCCCACCGCAGCGGCACCAATCTTTTTCTGGGCCTTCTCAAGCTCAGCTCCAGTCTGGGTTTTCACAGGCTTCGCTGGTTCGCAAGGACAAAGCAGAAAGCTTGGAGCGAGTGGGCCAACAGTCAGCGTCCGGGCTCTGCAGGTTGACGCAACACTTGCCTGTTGACCGCTCGATGCAAGAGCTCATGTCGCGTAGAACAACCAGGACATACTCGTGCGGAAAGTTGGCTTCTGGGGGCGTCGCGGGAAAGTCGCGCGTCCAAAACGACTGGAGCAACGCGTCCATCTTCTTGCCAACAGCTTTGCCCTCTGGACTGCGTGCACCGGCCTCCGGCGAGCGGAGCAGAGTGAGTGCCGCAAAGAACGTGATGTGCGCTGCCAGCAGGCTCGCCACGCTCCTCGCTTCTGTAACTGCCCGCTCAGCGAGCGCACGCAACTCGGCGTCGCAAACGTGCCAGGCAGTGCTCAAGTCCTGCAGGGCCTCTGCTGCTTGCCGAGACGCCGCAGCTGCAGAAGCCCACACTTGCACACTGCTTGCAATGCACGCCCTATAGGCCACTTCATCCGCTTGTGGATTTGGAACCTGCAGCAACACACCCGCACACTGGAGAGCTGCTTCGCAAGCTGCGGTGCATCGCTGCCTCACTTGACCCTGCAGCAACTGCCGTTTGCGTTCCCTTGCAGTCTCCAAGAACTTCAGAAACTCCTCACTTTGCAGCTGCATGGCTGCCATCTTCTTAGGGGCCTTGGCCGCAACATCCCGCTTTGCAAGCGCATCGTCGAACTTTTGAATTGCGGTGCTCACCTTCGCAAGTAAGGGAGTGTCTGCGTTCTGCAGTTCGTGGATACATTTGGCCAGCTCTAGGAAAGCAGACCAAATGGGCTGAAGGGGGCAAGCAGCAGGCAACTGGGCAAGCAGTCTTTTCACGGTTTCTTCAGCCACGTTCGCGTTGGTTTTCAGCTCCATGCAAAGCTTGGCAAGCGAGCCAATTTCCCGGTACGCGACCAATTCCCTTGAGCTGAGTTCTGCCACGGCGGGCCCTTGAAACGATCCAAAGAACCTCTTCACTGTGGCTGTCACGTCTTCTGCTTCTGGCAGAATCTCGCTCACTGCAAGTTGCAAGTCGCCTGCCCAAAGTGCAAGGTCCTCTGTTGTCGTGTTTGCCGGTTGCAAGCACAAGGCAGACGGAAGACCCTGCTGCACAAACACAAACGTGCAAAGCTTCGACAGGTGGCCACGGACGAAGGCGTCCTTCTGCAGTTGCTCTTGCAGGGCTTGCGGCAACGCATCGCCAAGCTGCTTGAAAAAGTCGGACATGACGTTTTGGACATGATTGAGTTCATGCAGCGCCTTGCCCAAGTTCAAGTTTTCCTTGGCCCCGCTCTTGGGGTCTTCGCTCTCAAGGCTGCAAACCCAACCCCCGCACTCATGCGCCTCGGACACATAATCCAAGAAGCCCAACATTGCCTCTTGCAGCTCGTTGATTGTCTTCCAGCACAAAGCCTCCATGAAGCGTTTTGCCAACGACTCTGCCTGGACCTTAAGCCCAGCTGCCGCGCCTTTCTTCGCTGCCTGAAGCTTCTGCCACGTTGGCTCGACGAGCTCACGTAGGGCCTTGGCAGTCAAGTCCTTCAGCTGCCTTAGTTGCGCGATGCCGTCTTCGACCTCTGCGAGCTGCTGCTGCACTCGGGCATCCTGCTTCTGCCCCGCCACCAGTTCTCTGGCATGCCCAACGAGCGTTGTCCCGATCTTATGCTCCACAAAGAACTGCAGCACCGGGCGCTGGTCTTCTGCATCACCGAGCTCGGCGCCCTCCTCCAGTTGCGCGTAGGCATCCACTTGCTCGAGATAGGAAGCAAGGGCACTCAGGTCCTGCCTGCCGTCCAGCAGGACTGACACAAGTCTGGCAGTGGAGTCCACGCGCTGCAAAAGTGACCCGGTCTGCGACCCACTCTCCCCGGTCCCGGTCTGCGACCGACACTCGGCCATAATGGCCTTGCAGAAGCAAACAACCTGGCGTTTGCTGTCAGACTCCTGCTTGGCCGCCTCCGTCTGCGCTATGTTGCGCATCATGCTCGTCATACGGTTGGATACTTCCAACACGACGTGGTCCTCCACAGCGGACGCGGGCAGCTCGCGAAAGAGCGCTTGCAGCTCAGGCGCATCCTTCCGGAACAGCTTCACAGCTTGGTCGTACTGGCGGTACAGCATGAAGCGACCCACCTTGAGCGTGTGGAAGCGGCAGTGCGCATCTACTGCGAACTTGATCTCGACCCGCTGTTGCGCCACCTTGGTCAAGGCAGCTTCCATCTCCTCCACGTCTGGATTGCTCGACACCAGTGACCCATTCAGAGACTGAAGCGCGCCGAGGAGCTCCTGCAACTCTTCGATGCGGGACTCCTGGGCGCTCAAAGCAGCGCGGTTGGCGCTCTCCTGCACCCGCTTCAAGTGTACGTGTCTTCAAAGAAGAAGCTATGCGCTGAAGCGCGCGCGTGCGCCGGTTGCGCGTCTTCTTGACATCTTCCGCCGCCAAGTTGCTGTCCGTGCTGAACTCCATGGCCTGCAAGTCTCCCTGGATTTCCTCCAAACTTTTCTGCACACTCTCCTGTAGGCGCTGACCGCGACCGTCCAGCACCAGCGTCGGCGCCGCTTCTCCGAGACCAGTTGCTTCGGTCGCCTCAGCTGGCTCGCGCTTGACTCCTGCTCCTGCGCCTCCCGGCCTCTTGCTGGGCACTTGTTTTCCTGCCGGGGTCTTTGGAAAAGCCGTTGTCACAGGCTGGACGCTCTCAGCCGGCTCAGGCTTGTGAAGCGCAGCAGGCAGGCCTTTGCTGGGAGCACTTCCTGCAGCCGGTGCAGCAGCAGGCTTGGCAGCCGCCTTGCCGCTTGCCTTTGCTGCAGGCTTCGGCTTGGGTTTGGCCGGTTTGGCCTTCGGCTTGCGCACGGCAAACGCTGAGGTGGCAGCAGCAAGCGCGTTCTCCTCATCCTCTGACTCCTCTTCTTCTTCCTCCGGCTGTGGCTCCGTAGC